CCCCCCCCCCCCCCCCCCCCCGTCATAAATATTGACCGTTCTCTTAGCTGTGCTAGAATTCGTCCGTGCGTCCCGAGTGAACGCAAAATATATTAACATTATACGGTTAACTATAAATAATGCACTTGACACATACCTGTAAATATTATAGATATCTATTTCACAAGTTTCTGCCAAGATTTTGGTAGCTGGGTTGTAACTGTTGGTCCTAAAAAATATTGCACAAAAATAAACATTTGTTATAATAAGATAAATATATAGAGAAAGTTTTAAAATCTTCCAAAATTATCCGGATTCTTTTGGTTTTATAGATGGAATTTCGATTATGAATCTCATTCTACCAGAAATCTGGGACAAGCTGGCGGGCGCATAATAACTCATAATAGCAACTATAACAATATAGGAAAATTTTAAAAATCAAAATTTTAACCAGTTATCGCTTATTAGTTGCATGAAAGTTCAATTGTAGATGGACATTATCAAGTGTACATTTTATATACATTTATAAAGGCCCACACAGACCGAACGCGATTCGACAACGTGACGCGGATTCTTAGTTTTTAAAAAAAAAACCGTCAACGGATAAAAAATTTACAAGATATGCAGACCAAATAGCTAAAATTGCTTAATTAAGTGGTTCCGAATGTTTGAAAAACATAGAAAAATAGTGAAGTTAAATGTCATTGAAAATTCGCGTCGCGTTTCCAAATCGCGTCCGGTCTGTGTGGGCCTTTAGACCTAAAAATACAGCAATACGCGCAATGCAAATACGCGTGGAATTGTCGAATTTGGTTATTGAGTATACATAAGTGTCTTGTCAAAACAACATTCAAATTTCTAACAACATTAAATTTTACTTACCACCTGCATGGGATCCATCTTACATGGGCGTAAACATCGACGTTTGAAGTACTGAAGTTTTGTTTAAATATCGCCACAACTTCTTCGAGACGCGTTCAGTTCGTTTGGCATCTGCAGGAATATTCTATCAGTTAAAGCTAGAAAGACATTGAGGTAGGATAAGTTTCTAATTGCTTTGGATAGGGAGCGGTTGTTCAAGGCACGATTAGTGCTAACCCTGGTTTACCCCATTGTTTTGGTTTATGTACACCTGCACGTCTGTTTATTTGAAAATTTTAGAAAATTAAACTTCTGACGATCCAGACACGATTTCTGAAAAAATATTTCCAAGTTTATAAACAAGCTGTTTGAAAGTATATACTTTGAATTTCACGTTAACCCAGGGTTAAGCTAACCAGCTTTTGAACAATCGGCCCAAGATGTATTAAATAGTGGGACATAAAACGTTTTATACAATTGAAATAATTTTATATTCATCTGCTTTGTATGTATTGCGCATTTGAATCTAATATCTCCGTAAAGGCCGATTTACACTAGAACAACTTTTTCCTAAGACTGTCGGATGCAACTTGCTCACAACTTAAGGTTGAGATGATGAGACTCTGATTTTGTCAAAAAAAATTATTTTATATATTTATATTAAGTAATGATGTATCTCCCAATTCCAGCAACTTTTTTAAGAAAATGTTAAAAAGCGACCGAGATATAGGGGGAAATGCTATGACCACTGAATAGCTTCGCGCGAAACTTGTAATTATGATAGAAAAGTCACCGAAGTCAGCATCGCGCAAGCTTGAACTTCGAGAGACTCTGTAAATACTATATACTATAACAGTATAAGCTTTCTAATGTTGTCGCAATGATATATGCCTCCGAACAATAACTTATACTTTAGTGAATTTCACACCTTGATATTTGACGCCAGCAAAGTTCACACTTTGTGGTTTGGCCACAAGTGGATTAACATTGGAGGCGGAGAAAATGACAGAAAGAGTGGAAGCCTCGCCAAATCTTATATGGTCGTTTGAAGACAAAGCAAAATTACCCAATCTCCTCGACAAAAAAGAGTTTAACGACAGAGCGTTTTATCCGATTCGTCCCAAACTTGACCACAATGTTAATCAATAATAAAGGAACAAAAAGGTGTTCGCGTTTTCGATTTAGTGTATTATTTTTCAATTTAGAAGGATCTCTTCAACCGCTTATACCCCCGCAAGATAAGTCAAGTTGTCTGCTTTATATCAAAGCGAATACAATAGCTGTCAAAAAATGCGAACACCCCTTTTAAAGGTGAGTTAAACGGTCTGTCGTTAAATCTCGTGGCGCTGCAAGAGGTGCTATTTTTCAAAAGATGTCTCATTGCGACTACAGGTTAAAAGGTGGTGAATTTTGGTTAAAACAGTAGCTTCTACAGTTAGTTATCATTGCATGTACCAAATTTGAGGAACGTAACTAAAAAATTGGGCACGCAGTGACAATTTTTCTGAAACAGGAATCTATCATATGATGTAACCTTAAGTTGTGCTGTGTAAATCAAGCACCGGTGCAACTAGGCTTAGTAGGCTACGTTGTTGTAGGTCAGCGAGTTGTGTGCTTGATTTATACAGTACAACTCAAGTTGTAAACATGTTGCGCGCGACAGTTTTAGGCAAACGTTGTGTAGTGTAACGCCTGTATTCTAAAAGCACACTCAAAGAGTGGAAGTTCAATTTGAGCTTCCCTTGAGTGTCAGTGCTGTTTTTGAATAACTGGAGGGCAAGTAGTCACATAGTATTAAAGGTACGACACTAAGGCCAATGAAAATTGATATCATGTTTCTCGTCCCCGCCCGCATGGTATTTATCTGCCGCACGAAAATTTTTCATTATTCATTATTTTTGAAAAATAGACTCAAAAAACACCAAATTCATCTGCAGATCAAAGTCTTATTGCTGCATTCCGCAAGCGCAACTCAAATTGTATCTTTCTAAAGATATTACTCGCCAGAATGCCTCTATTTTTCATGTCAGCCCTGGTATGTGTAGAAATATACTGTAGTCTGTAGACTGTAGTGTAGGACGTATTAAATTAAAATTAATTATACACCAATTTTTAATACTTCAGATTTTTATGGGGATTTTTACTGGGTCAAGGAAATTATTGACAAGCAAAATTCAAATACAAAAAATAATGAAAAATGAAAAAATCCCGCTCCAAATTTTTGAAAATTGTGGACGAGAAACATGATATCAATTTTCGTTGGCCTAACCGTCCAGCTGTTCAAAAAACAGCATTGACACTCAAGGGAAGCTTGGATTGAACCTCCACTCTGGCACTCTTTGAGTGTGAGCATGAGTGAGCTTTTAGAATATAGTAAGGCCTGTTTTATACATTGAATTTCGGTCGCGTCGAATGCAATTCAAACAATAAATAATGAACCTTAATGAGGTTTATCATCGCATTATCTATTGTCTTAATTGCATTTAACGCGATCAAAATTCGACGTATAAAACAGGCCTAAATCGGCGTTTAGACTGAAAACGTTGTTGTACATAGAGCGAGGTCTTTCTTTACTCAGACCAGGATGTATTTCTGGGAGCATATTGTTCTACTTTTGCCTCGGCTCATGTCATGACATAAAAGTGCTTCCATGCAGTTTGAAGGATAGTTTTGCTTCGGCCCATATGAGACATGAGTGGCAGCTTGCATGTATAGAGTTTTTATCGTGGATCGTGTGTGAAAATGTCATACTGAGTTTGTGTCAAATAAAGTGTCATAAATAAGTTTGGGTTAAAATATAATATTGAGAAAATATAACATATCCTCATCTATTTGTGAAAGGTCCAGTATATCTCATATTGAGATTTTGTTGTGTTTCATGGCTAAAAAGTCATAAATGGACATTGTCTATTAGAATTGGTAGGTTGACTCTCGAGCCAAACTGAAGTATAAGACAATGCAATTTTTATGCAACCTGTCTTGCTGTGTCTTTGGTGACTTTATATAAAAATGCGGCAATATGTTGGATGATGTTGAATGAATTCAACTAAAGTGAAAGCTGATCCAATATCCTACAACGTCAGTCAACATTGTTGAACCTAACAGACCCAGCAATGTTGCATCAAACGAATGTATAGCCATAGGATGATGTTGAACTAAAAATGTTAGACAACGGTGGACCGAAGTTAAGCCGGATCCAACATCTTTTAATATCAACCAATAGGTCTGTTCGCTCTAGAATCTTTAAGTAAAAATATAATATCTTGTGTTCAATGACAGTGTCAAGTGATGAGTCACATCACATTTCAGTGGGCAAAATTCGTGACTTTACAATTTCAAGATGGATCCATCTGTTGGACAGCCTGAACGACAAAAGGCCACAAGAGGGAAGGGGTGGATATTCTTGTCAAATTTCATTTCCATTGATGTCTATTCAACATTTTACACAATATTTATTTTAAAACAACTTCATGAATCTTAGCAATCCTTTTTGGCAAAATGTTTCTTCTTTTTGTCAGAACTTTCCAAAATAAATGTCATGCAGTCAAAGTGACACTCGATTATTTTCAAAACAATTTAGATGGAAAACAACCTTTAACTGACCATACTATCGTTGTACAAAAGTTTCTACAAAATATAATCTTTAAATTTTCAAGCAAATTTTCATTGTGGACCATGTTCTGGACCCACAGTCCTTCACTATACGTTAAATTAAAGAGGCAATATGCCATATGGCGCCATCTTGACACTTTTACGAGTTAAGTGACAATCACAATTGCTCAACCGTTATTGAATTTTTTAACAAGGATCCTTACTAAAATTGTCTACCTAGTGATCATATACAAGAAAACATGGTATTTTAGCAAATCAAAAACCACTGACGTGCATTGTCGTGGTGCAAAGATGTCTTTTCCCATCTTCTCAGACTTGTTATTTTGGGAAGCATGCGCGAAAAGCGAGGCGAAAAGTGTAAAATATTATAAGTTGTGGAAATGATTTTTCTCTTATTTTCTGATATGGCATGTAAAATGTATCGAAGAACAATAAAATAAAATAGTAGGGTCGCGGATCCCGAATCGACACGACTCCGCGTAAAAGCACCTCGTCGACTCGACATATTTTCATCATCTCTCAAGTCAAGCGGATACGACTCGTTAAGGTGAGTAAGGCCGTTTTCCACTAGGCGGAATTTTCCGCGCGGATCGGAATTTTTCTTTGTCTTGTGATTTCCCGAGTGGAACTAATTAGAAAAGACAAAGAAAAATTCCACTCCGTGCGGAAAATTCCACCTATCAAGTTTGTTCGTTCACTGCAACCAGGTATATCAATCATGTTTCGCTCGCTACTCTGGTTTAAATAAAATGATTACAAAGCCCAGTGGAATTGTAATCAAGACCCAACGTTTCGACACTCCAGTCTAGTGTCTTCATCAGGGGTGATCTAAAACTGCGATCGTGGCTTCTTAAATACCCAAGGGATGACGTCACCTGCCAAGAAGATGCATATATTCTTCTGGCAAATAGGCGCCGTCATCCCTATTCAAAGCATGATGACTCGTATTTATATGCCACGCTTCTAGGCAAAGTCTTTGACCATAGCGATTGTTTGTGGTAATTACTTTAGAGTTTTCCCACGCAATCTCGTGTTTGGTGTAACATGTGGAAAACGGCCTTAAAATCGATTGTCGACTCGACATATTTCAGAGGACCCGCACGATGTGCGAAAAAATTAAGGCAAAATGTGTTCGTTCCCAGGCTATCTTTAAAACAGGGAATGGTGAATCCGGGAATCCTGCTAATTTGTAATATACTAATTTATATTTAAACTGATAAGATGGGGGGGGGGGATATTAGTATGCTTGTTGGAAAACGCATTTGCTACTTTGTTTAGCCTGAATAATACAGGAACATCATAATATATTATAGATGTATACCAGCGCTGCATGTGCATATATGTGAGTTTTAATAACATATAATTTTATTAATTTCAATTAGACATTAATTTCAATTAGACATTGCTCCAACGCGCAAGTTTTTTGGATTAATAGACTGCAAAATGCATGCATCGTACAGGAAACGGGATAACACTAAGCAATTCGGCGGCGACGCGGTACGTACGCCGGGTTTTCACGGGACTAGCTAACAGTCGTGGGTCGTGGGTAGAATGTCGTGGGTCGTGGGTAAAAAGTCGTGGGTAAAAAGTCGTGGGTAAAAAGGCGTGGGTAGTGGGTAAAAAGGCGTGGGTCGTGGGTTAAAAAGCGTGGGTCGTGGGTAAAAAGGCGTGGGTCGTGGGTAAAAAGGCGTGGGTCGTGGGCAAAAAGGCGTGGGTCGTGGGTAAAAAGGCGTGGGTCGTGGGTAAAAAGGCGTGGGTCCCGATTACAAAGTCGTGAGTTCCAAGCAAAGTATTTCCATACATTTACCTTTCTACCTTTCTTTGGAATGCGTGTTTTTTTTCTTCTGAGGCTTTCCCAAACTATGCCCAAATATGCATAGTCTTAGAGCGCGTTAAGGCCGGGTTTTTGATATCGGCAGATCGGTTTAAAAATATTATAACCAAGTGTGGATGAAACAGTTCAACTTCACGCCCCATATAGCTCAAATATTTGGACGTTATAATCTTATAGACAGATAAATTAGTTACTGCAATTCTTCAATAAGAATATGGCTCAAGGCCACATGTACGAAAGCTGAGTAGCACTATCCACTCGATATTATAGTCAAATTTTTATAACCGGCAATGGCATCATATGTTTTCAGAGCTATATATGGAACTGCAGAGTATAGCTAACCATTTAATTAATGAAATAATAGGGCCATTTATACGTGACAAAATAAGTCGCGACTTACATAAGACGCGACTTAAATAAGTGGAGTTATCGCATTAATGGTTCTCTACGGCTTTGGTCTTATTAATTTGCTATAGCTATGTTGTTTTGGTTGTTTTTGTTTTAATATGCAAGGCATTAAATTTTACGTTGTTTCAAGTTTCTGACATGTGTAGTTAGACTTTTTGTCCAAAATTTCTTATTTAAGACGCGACTTAAATAAGAACAGCTAAAAGACCTGTTCTTATGTAAGACGCGTCTTATCCAATACGCGTCTTACATAAGAATTTTGTACCTTTTATACGACAAACTCGCGTCTTACCTAAGCCGCGTCTTATGTAAGTCGCGTCTTATTTTGTTCCGTATAAATGGCCCTAATATGACATTTGACTTATATATGGTCTTCATGTATATACTATACAAAGAATTCGAAGATCGCCGGTCTGCAAAATAGTGATGCATCGATATCCACATCGGTAATTTTGTTGTTGATATTACCGACATCGTCGTAAACATTACAAGAAAATATATCTCTAGACCAACCAATGTTGCTGTTATTTAAAACTGCTGAAGTCTATCCTAAACGATTTCTGAAATATCGCAAACTACAAACGGAACAAACCTTGCATGTAAACAATGCTACTCGGGCTGTTATTAAATATAAATAAATAAGCGCTGTGAAATTTCCAAATTCCAACTTGCCATTGACTTCGCTGAAACTTGATGCTCAAGAAATATGTAGAAGTATACCTCTGTTATCAAACCTACGGTAAAATAATCCGACAAAAGCCTACTGAAAGATAAGTCAAAGCATGAATGTTACAAATACTGATGTGTCACTATGTGACTGTATATTTGTAACTTATATGTTTGACATTAGAAAATACAAATCACATAATAAATTTGAAACTAGATTCACTACTGCAACATCATGGTTAGATACTAAGTACGTATTTAAGTGAAATCTCTCAAATGCTTTCTTTTATTTTTCCCTAGTAAATTAACAGACATTGCATTAAATTAACACTGTCCAAGTGGAAATTTCTCGCTTATTACTGTATTAAAGAACATCAACAAATTAGTGAAGCCCTGAATGTCAGAATTTAGCTATTTATGTCAGGCTTGACAGCACTATTTCCTATTGAAGAATTACAATATTTATCTGTCTATAAGATTATAACGTCCAAATATTTGAGCTATATGGGGCTTGAAGTTGAACTGTTTCATCCACACTTGGTTAT